TCCAATTATAAGTAGATATAGTAAGATAATTGTAAGTCACTGTAAAAGAAATAGTGAAAACGTTTGCGCAAATCTTGTCAAACTCAGCATACAAAGATTAATGTAACTAGCAAACATCCGATGGAATTTGTGGTTTGATATTAAAATAACCCGAAAATCGAAAAAAAAAAAGCGAATGGAATAATTGTCACGCAATCCAATTATAAGTAGATATGGTAAGATAATTATAAGTCACTGTAAAAGAAATAGTGAAAACGTTTGCGCAAATCTTGTCAAACTCGGCATACAAAGATTAATGTAACTAGCAAACATCCGATGGAATTTGTGGTTTGATATTAAAATAACCCGAAAATCGAAAAAAAAAAAAAAAGCGAATGGAATAATTGTCACGCAATCCAATAATCCGAGACAAGCCAGACAGTCGCGAGTTCGAATCCCGGACAAGGCCCACTAACGTTTTTTTTTCTTTTCTTTTCCCGCTTTCCCTCAATGTTTTTCCTTCATTGTTCCCAATCTTGTAAACTAAACTTAGTTGTCGCTGACCTCGACGTTAATGCGCCGTAAGGCTCTCAAGTAAATTAAAAAAGAATGAGGACAAGTCCTCTAATTAGGATAATTTTAATCGAAACGCTGGCTGGCTCGTTTCAGAGAATGATTCATCGGAGCAACACCTCTCATCGTGATATCACTCCTTCGTTTGCGTGTATTTAATTTTTAAGACCATTTTCCTGCATTTTAAGCAAACAAGCGAGAACTCTGATCCATGTCGAGATATTAATCAAAGGCCGTTGAATTTTAAGCATACACGATTTAATGTCGAGCACGTTGTTTTACCTCCTTCACCTCAAAGTTTTTATTTCACCCTCGAAGTTACGAAGATTTCAGAATACCGTAGTAAATAACCATTAAACTAGCTCTTAAGGTGAAGTGAAACACGTTGAGGAACTTGATCGACATCGGTAAAAAAGATTTTTCTAAATACCTACGTTGCCGATGTTTGATTTTATATTGATAGCCGTATCGAATTATATTGGGTATAGTACTAAACGGTATACTCCATGTGTCGTTTTCATGCAATAATTATAAAGAAATCCAAGTAAAACTCCAGAAATCCCTTGGATTCATGGTTTCTGAGGCTCTAATTGACTGCAGAGAAACCCCCTGCGCCATCTGTGATTTCCGTGTCAACTAAATTTTCACTCTGAGACCTCGTATTACCATCGTTTTAGCACATCAGCGCATAAGACACTTTTTTTTGTCTTTATCCCGTTCAAATGGGAGTTTTTCGATTACCAGAGTGTTCTAAATTGTCGTACAATTGTTCTGACACCTTCGTTTCTCATATTAGAGTGTAAGGATAATTCCTAGGTGCTCACGAGTCATGTGACAAAGTTTGACTGTTTTATCCAGTACCCTTAAAAAAAAATGCCTTACTCGAGTCGACTGATTTGAGGGGGTTTCACTTCACGTTAACCCTTTGAACGCGGAGCCATTTCGACAGATGGGCGAAATTCGTCTGACCGTGCAAGCAATATTGGACCAAACGTCGGGCGCCTTTAGACGCTCTTAGTAGTCAAAGGGTTAAACTGGCACGTATCGTTAGCCGACGAATATTTTTTGCGATAACAGTTTAATGTTTCCTCGGAATTATGACAATTTACTCGCGTAAATGAATTATTCTTTGAATTAAAAGAATAAATTCTAAATTGTCGTACAATTGTCCTGACCCTTTCGTTTCTCATATCAGAGCCTTCAATAATTGGATATCGATCGAAACATGAGAGCCGACGCCATTTTGCTTCTGGTCTGTGTTAAGTTAACAAATTTTTTTTTTAAATCCAAATTTTCAGTGTCAGCATAATTTCTAGGTGCTCACGTGTCAATGTTCCAAACAGTTCTATCCAATACCCTTAAAAAACAGTCTCTTATCAGAGTCGACTGATTCGAGGGGAGTTTCACATCACCTTAAAATGTAATTACGCGTTAACGTAATTTCATTCGATCTTTTCTTAATTAAGCCAATTTAGGTTATCTTAGCTAGTCCTTATATAAAAAAAATCCGATATTCCAATGTAGGGCCAATACTCCAATGTAATTATGCATTACCGTGTAATTTCATTCGATCTTTTCTTAATTAAGTCAACTTAGGTTATTATCTTAGCCAGTCGTTATATAAAAAAATCCGATGTTCCAATGTAGGGCCAATACTCCAATGTAATTATGCATTAACGTGTAATTTCATTCGATCTTTTCTTAATTAAGCCAACTTAGGTTATCTTAGCAAGTCCTTATATAAAAAAAGTCCGATATTCCAATGTAGGGCCAATACTCCAATGTAATTATGCATTAACGTGTAATTTCATTCGATCTTTTCTTAATTAAGCCAATTTAGGTTATCTTAGCTAGTCCTTATATAAAAAAAAATAGGATATTCCAATGTAATTATGCATTAACGTGTAATTTCATTCGATCTCTTGTCAATTTAGCCAACTTAGGTTATCTTAGCAAGTCCTTAAATAAAAAAAGTACGATATTCCAATGTAGGGCTTACAATGATATGTTAGCATCCTAGCTAGGTCCTACTCAGGGTCCTTGCAGATTTCCTAGACTGGGTAGAGTCCTATCACTGAAAAAAAATTGCCCAAAAAACTTTATTACGAACATATAATCGCCATTAGAGTCTCCGGTCGGATATCCTAAAAATGACCGACAAACGCACACGAGACTGCTTGCGTAGGTTGATTTTCGTACTACTTATTCCCACTTGCAATTCCAACGGATGCGTGCATTCGCTGCAGCTTCAAGTGCAATTTTATGTGCGCTTATCCAGTGTATTGCGTTGCTCCATACATCGCTCCTGGTTAAGTTACATAATTTCTCATCGTGTAGAGTATCCGGGCTTTGTTTGAGCGAACTGACCGAATAGCTGCTATCACTGTACTCAACGTAACTGCGGAAGCCGCTTTTCTAGGTACGCAATGTGCGAAAAGTACGGTCTGTACTTACAAGGAAGGTATCCCAGCTCGATCTCTCCGATTTCATTTCTTTTATAATATGTTATAGTAGACTGAAAACTAAGCGACACGTATTTTTTTTTATCTGCCATTATACACTTTAAGGGGGTGAAACCACCATCCAAAGTAAGGCCTGTGAGGGGTGGTTCACCCCTTAATTTTCTTTCCTTTTTAATTGAGAAAATTATATTTTTCATTTCTCGTTATGAGAAAGCTTTTCCAGGTGGATTGGTTAAAAAATATTACGTCCTTGTGGGTGAAACTGCCAAATCGCCCCTTGACATGCCTTACTTTGGATGGTGGTTTCACCCCCTTAAAGGGTTTAATGGCAGATAAAAAAAAATACCTGTCGCTTAGCTTTTAGTCCACCATAAACATATTTACATATTTCGTACATAATCACGTGTTAAATTTTCAGATGATGCGGTGCGTCCAGTTTGGAGAAAAGTTTTATCAATATTTTGACTTTCTGGTATGTATGTACTACACTTTCATATCACCTTTAAAATCATGAAACTGATTTTTTGAAATTTAGTTTCAGGCAAAAACGAATTGAAGGAATAGTGGCCCGTGAGTCGCTTGATCATTTGAAAGTGTAATAACGTTTTTGGCATTATTTTCATTTTCATTTTCTGTTTCTTGCGAACAATGTCCAGTAATTTCGACTTCTCAACCTCGAAGGAGTCACTGAGTCGACCCTCGACGGCATCCTCGTAGAAATCATTCGTTTACCGAACCGACTCGGTGTCCTCAATTTAAAAGAGAAATCGAATTGGACTCTTCTATGAGAAGCAGGATGCGAAGGATAGGGAACAAGTTCTGATAACGAACGAACTTCTCTGCATGTTCATCGTCGATTGATAATGAAATTTCTGCTAATCTTGAATACGGAGGACTGACAACAGCAAAAGGTTCTAAAAACGACCGAACATGTATCTCTGCATGTTCATCGTCGATTGATAATGATATTTCTGCTACTCTTGAATACGGAGGACCGACAATAGCAAAAGGTTATAAAAACGACCGAACATGTATCTCTGCATGTTCATCGTCGATTTATAATGAAATTTCTGCTAATCTTGAATACGGAGGACCGACAACAGCAAAACGTTCTAAAAACGACTGAACATGTATCTCTGCAAGTTCATCGTCGATTAATAATGAAATTTCTGCTACTCTTGAATACGGAGGACCGACAACAGCCAAACGTTCTAAAAACGACCGAACATGTATCTCTGCATAGTCATTGCTGTTGGATAAAGAAAGTTTTTGCTATTCTTGAATAGGGAGAATCGGCAACAGCAAGAAGTTCTAAAAACGACCTAACATGGATTTGTGCATGTCCATCGCTGTTGGATAAAGAAAATGTTTGCTATTCACGAAAACGGAGAACCGGTAACAGCAAAGGGTTCTAAAAAGAACCGAACATGGTTCTCCACATGTCTTATCGCTGAATAATGAAATATCTGCTATTCTTGAATACGGAGAACCGGTAACAACAAAAAGTTCTAAAAATGATCGAGCATGGATCTCTGCAAAGTCATTGCTGTTGGATAAAGAAAATTGTTGCTATTCTTGAATACGGAAAACCGGCAACAGCAAAAGGTTCTAAAAATGACCGAACATGAATCGCCGCAAGCCCATCGTCATCGGATAATGAAATTTCTGCTATTCTTGGAGCCGCTTCTTAGTCGCTCTTGAATTACTTCTGCAATTTGATTTGAGGCGGATGATCGGTACAAGTCGCTTGTCCCAACAAGGCGCGTACTCGTAACAATGCCAATATTGCAACTCTAATGGGTTCTGTTCGTGGAGCTTACGACTTATGTAAAGGCCCTAAGCAGTCTCGTCGGTGCATCCGTACAAAAAGTCACCGAGTGACTCCACAATGCAGCGTGTGCAAACGAGCCGCTACATTAGAGCGGTTCCTTGGCTGATCCGGAAACCTCTCCAAATTCGGCTACCGAAATAATTCAATTTACTGACCTTGAGGAAAACTCCCAGAACGGCCAAACCATCGGATGCCTTGGCCGCCTCGGCGAACGTCCTATACTTAGTCGTGTTCCAGTGCACCAGATGGAGCTGAAAGTACCAAAATAGTGTGTGTTATTTTTAAAATTAACACCCTGGAGAAGAGGTGTTAAAAGAGATGGAGGAGGCCATCGCGATCCCTTCGTTTTACTTTACAGAGAAACTGCGATGGGAAGATCCCAAATGTTGCAACAAAATTATTGAGAATATTTAGGGACAGAAAAATGATAAAAAAATAGGGTGTTATTTTTAAAATTAACACCCTGCAGAAGAGGTGTTAAAAGAGATGGAGGAGGCCATCGCGATCCCTTCGTTTTACTTTACAGAGAAACTGCGATGGGAAGATCCCAAATGTTGCAACAAAATTATTGAGAATATTTAGGGACAGAAAAATGATAAAAAAATAGGGTGTTATTTTTAAAATTAACACCCTGCAGAAGAGGTGTTAAAAAGATGGTGGAGGCCGTCGCGACCCCTTAGTTTTACTTTACAGAGAAACTGCAGTGGGATGATCGCGAATGTTGCAACAAAATTATCGAGAATATTTGTGGATGTTATTTTTAAAATTAACACCCTGGAGAAGAGATGTTAAAATGGATGGTGGAGGCCATTGCGACCTCTTCGTTTCACCTTACAGAGAAACTACAATGGAATTCTCGCAAATGTTGGATCTAAATTATTGTGAATTATTTTCTTTTGTTATTATATTTTCTTATTGTTATTGGTTTTGACGCCTCATGACAGTTCCCATTAATGATATGGTTTAAAATACTCTACAATTAATGGAGAGCTGCCAAAATCGCAGAATATTTCCAGACACGTGCTTTAAGAAAATACTTTCAAACGAAGCGTGAAAAGCCCAATGACGCATCCACTTCCTAAGCATGAGGATGCATAAATTTAACTACATTCGTTATCATAACACAATGATATCGATATTAAACTTCCCTCTAAAGCGACATTTATACAAAAAAATCTGGCGATATAATTGTAAAAATTCATAAAATTATACGAGGGAATATAATTTTAACGCAATTTCTTTTTTCAACACGCTGTATTGTCAGTCTGGAAAAAGAAAAGACATTTTCGGTGTAAAAAAATAACGAGACCCGTAAACTTGCAAATAATAAACTCTAGCTCGTCAATTGATACCCTTAAGGTGATATGAAAGTGTAATATATACATCTTAAAAAGTCAAAATATTTATAAAACTTTTCTTTTGATAATGGAGGCTCCAATGAAGAGCGCGCTGCCCGTGAAATCTCATTTTTCGAAGAAAAAAAAATCTTTTTTTGGTACTTGTCCGAAGTACACAATTTTTTTCGAAAAAAAAAATTCATGAGCAGCGCGTTATTCCTTAGGGCCTCTATAGTCAGGTTTTAAAATTTCAGATAATTTGGTGCACCCACTTTGGAGAAAAGATTTTATCAATATTTTGACTTTTTGTTATGTATATATCACTTTCATATGTGCCCATAATTATGAAAGTGGTCTAAGTCATATATTTTTTGTTTCGAAATTACATAGAATTAATTTCGTTTGAAACAATATGGCGTGAAATAACTGATAAACTCATTTTTTTTTTAATTTTGACTTAGACCACTTTCATAATTATGGGCACATATCACCTTAAAACTGCCAAGTCAGAGAGAAATGTATGAACTCGTAATAGCCACGTTTAATCGTGTATATAAGTTATAGTGATCTATTATAATTCAGTAAAAGAATGTGTTAATCGGGGATAAATTATACTCTTCATTACAAAGTAAGTGAAACGGAAGCTGGAGATACGTAAGTCGCATATTACTATTCCTCTTTCCTACTATCTTGTCCTTCCGTCTAGCTGACTCAGTAATATTCTGTTTTAGGATCGCGATCTCGCATTGTTCTCTCCGGAATATTTGTGCGACATGTGTCTCGGTAAAAACATCGCAAAGAATTACCATCTGACTCATAGAAATTCCACGACCAGCACGAAATAAAGGCGTGGGCTGCAATTCAATTAGCAGGTGTACTATAGGAGGGTGCGACATAATTAGTCTAATGATTACGTCTTCGGGGCTTCCTAAGCTTGTACAATAATTCTGCGACGCAGAAACAAACGATGATACGGCTATTTAATATTTGGATCTCCATCTATTCAGATATTGGAAATATATCGCGTTCGTGAGACAGCGGGAGATACAAAGTTTTCTAAAAAAAAAATCGCGATAGCGACTACCTATCGCGAGCATATTGCAAAATATCAAATTTTATATGCGAAGTGAAGATTAATGGTAAATGTATCGCGTTCGTGAGATAGCGAGAGATATATGATGTGCTCTCGAAAAAAATCGCGATAGCGACTACCTATCGTGAGATTATTGTAAAATGTCAGATTTCATATGCAAAGTGAAGATTAATGGTAAATATATTGTGTTCGTGAGACAGCGGGATATGTATAAAGTGCTCTCGAACAAAAATCGCGATAGCAACTATTTATTGTGAGATTATTGCAAAATATCAGATTCGACATGCAAAATGAAGATTAATGGTAAATATATCGCGTTTGTGAGACAGCAGGAGGTGTATAGAGTGCTCTCGAAAAAAAATCGCGATATCGACTACCTATCGCGAGAATATTGCAAAATATCAAATTCTATATGCAAAGTGAAGATTAATGGTAAATGTATCGCGTTCGTGAGATAGCGAGAGATATATAAAGTGCTCTCGAAAAAAATCGCGATAGCGACTATCTACTGCGAGATTATTGCAAAATATCAAATTCTATATGCAAAGTGAAGATTAATGGTAAATGTATCGTGTTCGTGAGACAGCGGGTGATGTATACAGTGCTCTCGAAAAAAATCGCGATAGCGACTATCTATTGTGAGATTATTGCAAAATATCAGATTCGACATGCAAAATGAAGATTAATGGTAAATATATCGCGTTCGTGAGATAGCGAGAGATATATGAAGTGCTCTCGAAAAATATCGCGATATCGATTATCTATCGTGAGATTATTGTAAAGTGTCAAATTTCATATACAAAGTCAAGATTAATGGAAAATGTATCGTGTTCGTGAGACAGCGAGAGATATATAAAGTGTTCTCGAAAAAAATCGCGATAGCGACTATCTATCGTGAGATTATTGTAAAGTATCAGATTTCATATGCAAAGGGAAGTTTAATGGTTAAAAAAAAAAAAAAGAAAATGGTAGAATAATGAATTCCCGGGATTTCGAGTTTTACCTCGATCTCTCTTCATCCTTACTTTACCGAAATTGCACATGAAAAGCTTCATTTTGTATCATTCTCAGCGTAGACTGTAAAAGACCAACATAAATATAAATGTCGGCAACGGGACGCGCCAGCTTATGTTACCACTTCAGTATTCAAAATGACGGTACCACCAAAAAGGATATAAATGAATTTTAATTTATCGACCTCGATTAAATTTCTCAGCGCCTTTCATATCATCTTAAGGCATGAAATCTTATTGCAGGAGGCAGAAGTATGACAATAAAAAGACTTACCTCACCCGCAAAGGCTTGTCCATCTACCGTATGCTCGGAACCTCTCGAATCGCTGCAACCCCAATGACAATGATATTGCTCGAGTTTGTAGACATCATCCATCAAAGGTCCTCCACTTAAAACTCAAATAAATAATATACAATTAGTCGTCATAGCGATTAAAACTGACAAATTGATCGCGATTCCCATAAAACCGAGACCGAGTCGTCATATTTAATTAATATCATTCATGATATGTATCGTTTCATTGTATCCCCTTGGAATGCAAATGTCTGCACATTCTTGGAGTCCAATTATCAAATAGAATGAGATTGTACCGTGTATTCATGAAAATACATTAACACTAGGTTTACGGGCGTTTTTTATATACCTGTTTCTACGAGCACCCGTCAAATTGACGGGTAAACGAAAACACGGATTTTCTTTAAAAAATCGATTTATTCAAATTAAGTCTGTATTAAACGACACTAGGCTTTACGTTTAAATGAATTATTAATAAGTAAAAAGTCCTTTNTAGCTGTTACAATTTCAGACTGTTCGATCCAATACCCTTAAAAAGAAGTGTCTTTGAACACGGAGCCATTTCGCCATATGGGCGAAATTCGTCTGACCGTGCAGGCAATATTGGACCAAACGTCGGGCGTCTTTAGGCGCTCTTAGTAGCCAAAGGGTTAATAACGCTGAAAGATATGTTAGGAAAGGGCACTTAGGGAAATCGATTCCAAGATAATCGTTATCAATTTAATAGGAACATGCGATTATGTTGGGAGCTGCTATCATTTAGTACGTCCTACACGCTTTAGGACGCTCTTGACGATGACGCACGAAACTCATTACAGCTGTACGTACAATTGAAGTGCTCGATACGTCGAGCCCATAAGAAGCGCATCTGCAAGTGCGCCTCAAAAAGGCAGAATATAAAAACGACGTAGGAAGATGTTTCAAATACAGGTTGGCTAGTTACTGGAGCACGAAATATGCAAATGGAGCATAGTCTATAAATTCCTTTTCGTTTATTCTTTGGCCGAGTACGTACTCGCATAAACACTATGCCAATATGCAGACATCGTGCAGCTCGTTAAGGGAAAATGATATGATCTTGATTTATGTTCCAGATATTAAACTTGAAATTGTAGGTACAATTGGGCGTATTACCCGTGGGCACACATTTTTTCGAACGTAACAAATGCGGTATGACTCCGTGTCTCATTTTGTAAGTAAGGCTTTAAAAAGAAATGAAGAATTTTTTATTTGAACCTTAATCCATTTATCTTGCGTGGTTACATAAGCGAAATTCAACATTTAATCGGGAACGTTAAGGTAATATGAAAGGG